TTAATTGTTTAAGTTAAAAAAAATATTGGTTTTTAATTTATTCGTTAAATATTTCGTTAATTATGTATATTATTTATTTCATATTTTAATAATATTTATTCGATTTTTCCTTTTACTATTTCTTTAAGTAATTATCTTAATTGTTTAAGTTAAAAAAAAAATTGGTTTTTATTTTATTTGTTAAATATTTCGTTAATTATGTATATTATTTATTTCATATTTTAATAATATTTATTCGATTTAATCGGTCATTTTTTTCCAATTGCATCCGATTTAGTCCATTTAATTCCCGATTATCATTTAAATTTTCAAAATAATATCATACAATATACTTTAGTCCGATTATTTATTTCTTTCAGTACAACACGAATCCTACTGAAGTAAACAACATTTACATTTTAATAAAATAATTGACAATGTACTAAGGATCACAGTTATATTCATACAAGTCGCAAGCTAATTTATGCCTCCACATATCAATCCAAGACTGATTTATTGTATCAACATTGCGACCAATGCTCAAGAACTCTATGTACTTGATTGCAAATAAGCCACAGTCACCCCTGCAACCGAATTAGAAGATATTAGTTCCATAACATATAATTGAAAATTAAATCTGAAAATTTAAAAGTTGTAAATCCTTACGATCTTTCTTGTCTCGCCGTCGTCGTGTTCCGCACAATGGCTAATCTATCATTTACTCGAATCATCGCATGACTAGCCATCATGGGCACGATCACAGCCAATGGCTCCAGTATTTGCTCCAATTGACTTTGTGTCAGACAGCTATGATCAGAGTCGTACACATATATGGTGGAATCAGCAAATACGATCTCCACCGAAAAACAGTGTGAGTTCGCGATCACTGGAATGTACATATGTGTACAATCCGTTCACGGCTTTCCGCACCTCAACTGTAGTCCAATCACCCACTCCAGCATGTACTCAGACAGAACATAATCATTCCCCTTGCTTAGGAGTTCCTGATGCTCAATATCTACGACACGAACGAACTCAGCGCTCAAGATAACTCGAGTAGGACTGTCATACGATCTCGGGTATCTCCGCGCCCGATCGCGTAACAATTCCATAGCCAAGTCGATATGCTGAAACAAAAAAACACCAACGAAAAAGATAGAGTCATTTAAGTAAATGAACCAACAACTTGTATAAATATAATAAACGGAAACTCAAAAAACTTAAATCATCAGCGAGCCAAGCTGAGGTCGTCAGTACATCTTCAAACCACTTTTTAGCATTGGGCACGGTCATACAGCCGATGGTATAACTATCTCTGAAAAATGAAAAAACAGTTACCAAAGATACAAAAAAAAGTAGCAACATCATAAAATACTTACTCGGACTTAAGGGATTTGAACCAATCATCGAACGCCTTCTGTCTGACTGGGTCGACGTCGCGAAAAAGATTGGGGTACGCCCCATCCACAAATCCCCTTCTCTTCGCCTCGACCGTGTAGGGAGAAACGACGTACTGTGACGGCAATCTTGATCTCTTACCGACCATCAGCTCTGGCGCGTCAGCAGCACGCTTCTTACCCTTCAGGACCTCCGTCGCCCCCTCGGACACGAATACTACCTCGTCATCCGTCATCTCCAGCGTCCTCTCATCCTCCGCAACCTGATCATCCCCCTCTACTATCACCTCTGATGTCCCCTCCGCTACCTCCTCGGCCACCCTTGTCCCTCCCTCCACCCCCTCTATCTCTGCCTCCTCCGGCACCTCCGGCCCGACCTCTATCCCGGGCATCCCGGCCTCCTCCTGCCCGACCTCCACCCCCTCCCTCTCGGCCTCCAACACCGAACCAAAAAACTCATCGATTCCCCCGGCCGTTGCCCACCAATCTCGAGGGACACCAGTCTCCCCGACATTCCCTCGGACGCCTGCTACATCGCCTCGAAGTGCTGCAACCTCAGTATGAAGGTCTCCTATATCTCGTCGCAGCACTCCAATCTCATCTCGCAAAGCTACTACATCTGTCGTAAAATCTCGTTGCAGCACCCCTATCTCCTCTCGTACTGCGACGATCTCTGTCGTAAAATCCCGTCGCAATACCCTTATCTCCTCTCGTAATGCGACTACCTCTGTCAGAAAATCACGTCGCATCGTTCCCAGCTCCTCTCTAATAATGCCAGTCATGCGTGCAAAGAAATCATCTGAATGACGGGTTTGACTGGGTGTAGGCGATCCATGTGGGAGGTGGGTGGGTACGGGAGACGGAGATATCCTCGGAGAATGAGATAATGGCGGTAGAGGCGATCTCATCGGTGGAGGTGACGGAGATCTCATCGGTGGAGGCGAAGGAGATCTCCTAAGTGGAAGTTCCGGATGGCGCTCCTACACAGAGAAGACAATTAATATTAATAATCCACACATGAATTTATAAGTCAAAATAAATAATAAACTTAAATAAACGTACTATATTTCTATCCGGAACGGACTCAAATACTGGATCGTCTTCAGTAGGGGGAACAAGTAATTCACGTACATATATTGCATCCTCCTCTTCCACCGAGACAGCCAACTCAGCATGAACTTCGAGCTGACATACCATATTTCAACGTGTTAACGAACATGTATCGACCCGAGTAAATGTATGTACAATATAAATTGCAAATATATAATACTCACCTGAGGATCGTCGAGGATAACTATCAAATCTTTAGCCGATGGCTTTTCATGTGCTCGCCAATGAAGCATTCGTGGGCAGCTAGTCTCCCTTCTGATCGCCCATTTGCTACCCAAAGCAGGGATAGCCTCATATGCCCACAGCTGCAACAATTACAAAATAAAACTTTACATATATATTTAATAAAAAAGTTCAACACGCATTACGTTACACTAAATATTTACCTGCAAAGCCATGCAAAAGCCATATACATCATATTTGCGATCGCCCCTCTCCGATTTCGGCATAGTCTGTACCCTTCTGAATACATGGAGAGTATCGGTGTAACATCTCTGACCCCATGGAAAGCTGTTGAAAGCATCGATATCATCAACAACATCCAATGAAAAAAGATCAATCGACGTCCTACGATGTCGACACCTCAATATACTCTCCAATATATACACCAACCCTAACTTCAACTTGTCTAACATGTGATCGCATTTCCTAAATGCGTCCTCTAACTGTGGTGGTGTAACTGGCCCTTTACCTCCAAAATATAAATCCAATAACCTTTTATTTCGTATAATACGGGTTCTAGCTTCTTCTTCCCCGGTACATCTCAAGCCCGTAATCAGGGCAAATTCAAGGATCGAGAATCTACATACCTTCCCGTCCCCAATAGCAAAATATAACTGATCGCCATCGACTGGTTTAAGCAGCCGAAGTAATAAAGAATCCACAATTTGTCCAGAGAACTGCACGTCCTTCAACGGATAGAACGACCATAAAAATGATCGACGGAGTAAGTCAATATGCTCCTCGTCCAGCCCCTCAAGTACTGTCGCATAGCTGGAAAAGTTACAATACGTCGTAACTTTTCCCGAATGAGCCCTCAGATCGTTGTCGATATGATATTCCATCCTACAAAATTAATACATGTTAAAACCATATAAAAGAAATTTTAAATAAAATATCGTACCTTCAAATTTAACCAATCAAATTTCATATTAATAAACCAATAAATAAATTCATCTAATCACATATTAAAATAATTAAACAAAAAAATTTCCACATATTTGACTATTTAATATTTATTTAAAAATTATATTTCGTTAATTATCTAACTCTATATATATATATTATTTACAAATTTATTCGATTTTTCATTTTACAATTTCTTTAATTAATTATCTTAATTGATGAAGTACAAAAAATATTATTCAATTTAATTTATTCTTTAAATATTTCGTTAATCATTTGTTTTATCTATTTCATATTTAATTATTCTATTTCAATTATTTATTTCAATAATATTTATTCGATTTTTCCATTTACTATTTTTTTAATTCATTATCTTTGTTCGTTAAGTAAAAAAATTATTGTTTTTTAATTTATTCTTTAAATATTTCGTTAATTATGTATATTATTTATTTCGATTATTTATTTGAATAAAAATAATAATATTTATTCGATTTTTCCTTTTACAATTTCTTTAATTCATTATCTTAGTTCGTTAAGTAAAAAAATTATTGTTTTTTAATTTATTCTTTAAATATTTCGTTAATTATGTATATTATTTATTTCGATTATTTATTTGAATAAAAATAATAATATTTATTCGATTTTTCATTTCACTATTTCTTTAATCAATTATCTTAATTGGTTAGGTAAAAAATATTATTCAATTTAATTTATTATTTTAATATTTCGTTAATCATGTGTTTTATTTATTTCATATTTAATTACTCTATTTCGATTATTTATTTCAATAATATTTATTCGATTTTTCCTTTTACAATTTCTTTAATTCATTATCTTAGTTCGTTAAGTAAAAAAAATATTGTTTTTTTAATTTATTCTTTAAATATTTCGTTAATTATGTATATTATTTATTTCGATTATTTATTTGAATAAAAATAATAATATTTATTCGATTTCTCGTTTCACTATTTCTTTAATTAATTATCTTAATTGGTTAGGTAAAAAAATATTATTCAATTTAATTTATTCTTTTAATATTTCGTTAATCACGTGTTTTATTTATTTCATATTTAATTACTCTATTTCAATTATTTATTTTAATAATATTTATTCGATTTTTTCCTTTTACAATTTCTTTAATTAATTATTTTAGTTCGTTAAGTAAAAAAAATATTGTTTTTTTATTTTATTCTTTAAATATTTTGTTAATTATGTATATTATTTATTTCGATTATTTATTTGAATAAAAATAATAATATTTATTCGATTTTTTGTTTCACTATTTGGTTAGGTAAAAAAATACTATTTCATTTAATTTCTTCTTAAAATATTTCGTTAATTATGTATATTATTTATTTCGATTATTTATTTGAATAAAAATAATAATCTTTATTCGATTTTTCGTTTCACCATTTCTTTAATTAATTATCTTAATTGGTTAGGTAAAAAAATATTATTCAATTTCATTTATTCTTTAAATATTTCGTTAATCCTGTGTTTTATTTATTTCATATTTAATTACTCTATTTCGATTATTTATTTGAATAATATCTATTCGATTTTTCCTTTTACTATTTCTTTAATTCATTATCTTAGTTCGTTAAGTAAAAAAGATATTGCTTTTTTTAATTTATTCTTTAAATAATTCGTTAATTATGTATATTATTTATTTCTTATTTAATTAATCAATTTCAATTATTTATTTGAAACGTATATTTAAGTAAAAAAGAAAAAAAAATTAAAACTCAATTTAATTTATCTTTAAATATTTCGTTAATTCTCTTAATATATAATTTATTTTATATTTCATTTTATTTCTTAATACAAAAATAAAACAACAATTCTGGAAAAAAAAAATTATTTTTGACCCAAATCCGGGTCCAGACCCGGATTTGGGCCGGCTAGCCGACCCGGACCAAACTCCGGGTCGGTGTGTCCGGACCCGGTCCGTTACGGACCATCACTGTGGTCCGTAACGGACCATAGTGATGGTCCGTAATGGACCATTTCGGGTCTGTTACGGACCAGCAGCGACGGAGCCGCCGGAAAACTCCATTTCTGGCGAGCTCCGTCCCTTTTTTCACTCTTTTTCAACATTTTAACCTCAAATTCGATATTTTCTTACATTTTAACCATAAAAACATGAATTTAACCCATATTCATATCCTAAACATTCAAACTTTCACAAATTCGAAGTAGTTATTTATAGAAAACATGTCTAACCTTCCAGAAAATGACGGTCTCCGGCGAATCGACGGTTCGGGCAGTCCGTAGGCGACGTCGACGGTCCGAGCAGATTTTTTCTTTTTTTTTTTCTCTTTTCTTCTTTCCTTGATGGGGGGTATTTTCGACCCTACACAAATAATAACATTTTCCTTCTTTTTTTTTTTTTTAAAAACTTGGTCAAAGGCTATTTTGATAAACATACCGGGTGGGCCAGCCATTGCCCACCATTTCCTCGGAAGACAACTCCTGTGGGCAGTGACGAGAAATCTGGACCCAAATAGTTCATTATTGAGCTTCAAACTTAAGCCTGGCCCAAACATAAGAAACAAATATATTCTTGGGAAAATTTCATAACTAAAAAATTAATTATGGCACATTTCAAAAACAAAAAATTAAGTTTCAAATTTCAAAAATTAGATTTTTATTAAAAAATATTTATAATTTAATTAATTAATTTAGTAATTTAATAAATTTAAGTCACAGATTTATATAATTTGGTCACAAATTAACGATTTAATTCATCACTTATTATTTCTTTGTCACAAATCAGAAATTTTATGTCACAAATTATTTTACAGTCACAATTCAAAAATTTTATAGGTCACAGTTTGTTCATTGATTACAAATCGAAAATTTATACGTTACAATTTATTTATAGGTCACAGATCTTAAATACTATAGGTCACAAATTATTAAATTTTTAGGTCACAAATTAACAATTTAATTCATCACTTATTATTTTTTGGTCGCAAATCAGAAATTTTATGTCACAAATTATTGTACGGTCACAATTCAGAAATTATATTGGTCACAGTTTGTTCATTGGTCACAAATAAAAAATTTATACGTTATAATTTATTTATAGGTCACAGATCATAAATACTATAGGTCACAAATTATTAATTTTTTAGGTCACAATTTATCTTATTGGTCACGTATTATTTATTAGTCACATATTAACCAATTTAATGGTCACAATTAACAAATTAATCTGTGACCACTACCAAACAATCACCCTCCAATAGCATTACCGGCACTACTATCACCCTACATCGAACACCACGATGTCCACCGCCACCATCAGAACCACAACACCACCATATCCAATGTTACCTCCGCCATCGTTGGATCCAGCAAAGCCACCACACCGAACAAAAAAATCCCAACCCCGATTCAGCCATCGCCACCACTGCATTTCTTCCCATCGCCTTATGCGCTGCTCGTGACGGCGACGAGAGAGGTGAGATAGACAGACCGTGTTTGGGGTTTCTGCAGCCTCACGTCGTCGTCGTCGCGATCTGAATCGCATCTACATCGTGCCTACCTAGCGCTACAGATCTTCGACGTCAGATGCCGACTTCCCCGACGTAGCCGCAACAACGCAATCTCACTGCTCCTCTGTACTTCGTCTGCAGCAACGCGGCGATGTGCCTCATTACTCGCAGCGCCGCCATCTATAGCAAGGACTCCACAGCCTTCGACAACAGCAGCGCCATCTTTCTGCGTGCCGATGCTCCCTCAGTGATGTACCAGATGAGGGGAATGGAAGAAGGCCGCCGTTGTGGGGGAGAAATGTAGAGAGAGAGAGAGAGAGAGAGAGAGAGAGAGAGAGACGAGAATGGGGAGAGGCTACTGTCGTGGGATAACGGTAGAGAAAGAGAAATAGGGTTTGGGTTAGGAGAATTTTTTATTTTATAAAAATATTAATTAAAATATTTTTATATAAAATATAAAATCTGATTTTTGATATGTTAAACATTCCTTCTGATTTTAGAAATCAGGATTTTAATACTAGGGATTTGGGTAATTTCCTTTTTAAACTTCACTATTTAAAGTTGAAAATTGAAATATAGGCAATGAAACCAATTAAAATGAATAAAAGCAAAGTTGTCTTCCTTACATATAAGTTAGCAAGAAACACAAAAATAAATAAATAAATAAAAATAAAAATAAAAATAAAAATAAAAATAAAAATAGAAAACTCGAGTGAACGTTACAACACTGAAATGGCTGAATTCCGTTAGTGATCAATGACGGAATGTTCCATTGAAAAGAATCAAGAAATTTGTGTCAGTGATTTTGTTTCAAATTTGTAAAAATTTTTTTAATTCTGATTCCATTTTCTGCCAAATTTGGCCAGTAAAATGGCAAGAGTCTCATCATTGAAGGCGAATGTTTTGGTAGTGCAACTCTAGTCGATCAATCTCTAAGATCTACAGTTGATAAAGATTCAAATATTTGAAGTCATTTTGTCTAAGTCAAGCCGTGTCAACTAGTTGGAAGTATAAATTCTAACAAAACAATTCAATGCCATGTGAGTTCTTAATTTTTTTCCTTGAAAGGTCATTCTGGCTTGAACAATTTTGTGTGCCCTGCACAGAAGAAAAACAGAAAATTCACATGGGTTTATATTGAAAAAAAAACCACCCACCCCGTACATGTGTGTTCTGTATCTTTTCCATATTTCCCTTTTTTGTACGTGAAGAAGGGTTCTTCTAGTTTAGATGATGATTTTTAGGCTATCAATCTAAACTCTCATGGGAGTTCGGATTGGATTCCCAACTTTTTTCCGGCTACTTCTAAGTCAGGCTGGTTTAGTTCAAAACCATAACCACCTTCGGCGGGTAAACTATACCTTCGGTTTTGTCCCTCAACTTCTTAATTAGAATTTAGAAGTGGATGTGGTTATATTTGCAAAGAAGTGTTCTAAAATTGGAACCCAGCCATAGATGCCACAATTTCTTGAAAATTATTTTTTGAAACTGTAAAAAAGACTTTATTCACATGGATAGGTAAATCTCATTATCCTGTAACTTAAAGATGTTGTTGCCCATTGGTAAATACAGTCATGGCAACAGCATAAGCCAATAAGAAATAAGAACATTGCAGCCATATAACTAGTCCATATAGTTTAATTTTTTGATAAATAATATTAAATAATATAATCCGAAGATCCAAGTTTAAGTGATTTGTTAATCACAAGGAGTTGTGATTGTGATATACAAATTACGTATGATTGGATCTTGAATAAACCGTAGTCGTAAGTAATGACGAGATATGGATATCGTTAATACAGTTAGACCATCACGTGTGACATTTCTTACTTGTGAAGTAAGTAGCTGATCTCACAAGTCAAAATGTGGTGACACTTAAATGAACACATGGATGTTTTGTTATAGAACAAAACATTGGAGACCCGCTAAGAGATTCCACATGGATAACTATCTGAGTATCAGTGGTTAATCTCTAACGTTCGGTAATGGAATTGGTCCTATGACTTGAGGTCATCATAGTGCCTTGTATGAGGACATTCATACTTTGATGGTGGTGGATGTTGCTCTGCCAAGGGCCGCTAATACGACATCATTCGGGTATGTCAAGAACCATATAAAGGTTGTGAATGATCAATAGAGAATTCGTCACTCTTAGATAGTAAGAGATTGTGATCTGCATTTCGTTCAATTAAGTCAATAACGAAATCCTTGACCAAGATATACATATAAGTCGAAAAGGAGTTTTCGACTCATATTGGCTTAGTAGTAGAATGAAAGATATGATCGATAATCGAGATTGACACACTTCCACATCTCGTAGTTGATCGGATCATATTGACGAAGGGATTATAATTTCATGGTAAAAGAACAGTTTTGATTTTGTTATACCACGTGACATTTTCCGTCACATGTATTGTCCTGATACATTGCTAGATGTCAATCTGGGACGGCGAGTATGAATTTGTGATAAATTAAAAGAGTATTTAATTTATCAGTTTTGATTAGATCAAAATAATATTTCACGTCGTTAGATATCGTGGTCGGGAACCTGATGGGCCGCACACAAAAAAGAATTGGAAAATTGCAAATTGCCAATTAATTAATTCATCCAATCGTTGGATAAAATTAATTAATTGGATTGGTTATTTATAGCCCCGAATTAATTAATTCACGGACCGGATTTAATTAAATGGATTAATTAAATATTGGACCGGATCAGACCGAGCCCATTTGGGTTTATATAAATACATGGTTAGGGTTTAAGATCCATAAAATTTTCATTATTCTTGCTGGTACAAGAGGAAAAATCCTAACAGTTACAGTCTATTCTCTGTGTGGATTTCATTGGAGGCTGGACAATTGGACAGCTGTGGGAGGGAGATTCAAGTTGTTGGAAAAGAATAATGCAAAGGAGTTTGCAAAATCAAGAAAAACTTATATTTCTCATCACAGTTCTTATTTAAATACAAAGTTGAATCCTGGTGGGAATTGAAATTGTTTATTTCCGCTATGCATGTTTAAGTAAATTTCCAATAGTGGTATCAGTGCCAACTTTGTATTTGTTAGGAATTAATTTACATATTAATTAAATTAAAAGTTGATTTAATCATGTTTATCCATCAATCTAGCAATTGTAGTTTTAATTTTATTTCTTCAGAATCTGATTTTGAAAAAAAAAATTAGGTCAAGTGGCTGCAGCGGCGGTGGACGTGCGCCACTGCCACCAGCGCAGCAGCGTTCTGCTAACGACCAACAGCAGCGGCAGGTGCCGCTGCACACTGCAGCGGCGCTTGTAGGCGCTGCCGCAGCAACGCCTTAGCCCTACTGTGGTGGAGGCGGGGCGACGCCGGTTGTAAAAGAGAAAAGAAAAAAGAAAAAAATTTCATTTAGGGTTTGGTTGGAGGCAGGAGCTTTCATTGCAATTAATGTAATTGCAAGCCCTGCCTGCAATTTCTGAAGGGGTCAATCTATAATTTTTAAATGGAGGGCATTTATTCAATTTACGAATATGGAAGCCCCTGTTATTAATTTTTCTATTGGGTCAAATTTGTAATTTTCAAAAGTGCTTTGTATTTGATTTTAAAATTAAATCTTAAATGGGTTTGACCCATAATTTAAATTTTGACCCAGATTTAAATTTTTTATTTAAAATTGACGACTTTTATATATTTGTTAAAATTAGATTTTAACTTAAATATTTAATTTTGACCTTTAATTGAATTTTTATTTTATTTGGAAGTTTTGTCCTAAATTAAAATATTAATTAAATTTTATTAGAGTTGGACTCTAATATTATATTAATTAAAATTTGATTTCAATTAATACCACTTCCCAATGCAAATTAAAATTTAGAGTATGACTCTAATTTAATAATTAATTAAAATTCGATTTTGATTAAATTACTTCGCCCAATAATTATGGAATTAGAGTTGGACTCTAATTCGGGATTTAGTTAAAATTTGATTTTAATTAAATAGGCCCGTCAATTAAGTTAATTAATTAATATGATTAACTAATTATTTAATTATTTCGATCCAAAATTTTGAATTAGTTTTGATAACTATAATGGCTAGATTTATGAGACATTGCATATAATATTAAATATTATACATATGAAACATTTATGTGATGAATGTTTATGGATGATTATGGACTCGACCACATGGATGTGTTGAATGGTTGATTTACTTCTTTTTGTTTTATGGGCCTGCAAGTCCTTAATTGTTTTGGACCTGCGAGTCCGTTGTTATTATTGTTGTTATGGGCTTGCAAGCTCTTTATTATGTTGGACTTGCGAGTCCGTTGTTATTGTTATTATTATGGGCTTGCGAGTCCGATTTCTTTTAGGCCTGCGTGCCAACTAGTATAAGATACATGTTGCAGTTTGACTAATTGAAGGCACAAGAAGAGGTAGACACCATGGAGATGGTGCATTGGTGTTGATCCAATGTTGTATCCCTTAGGAATTGACCAACTAGTCTTCTCTTAAACTCGGGAAAACTAGATAGAATAAGTCCATAATCATCCATACTATTATTTATATATATTTATTCGCGTAGTAGATGTATGTTTAATTACTTGACGAGACCATTGCACGTTAAATCCCTCGTTAAAATATTAAGTTAGTATTATTTGCCTTCCATCATTATAGTGAAAAACGAGAATCCTAAATCGACCTTAACTTGTTGAGTACACTTAAGGCTGGTCTATTAGGGATATGTTTGACACTATGAAATATTTGATATTTTTGAATGATGGGTTTGACTTAACTAAAATTTATCTTTTGTTAAATACACTTAAGGAGATAAGTTTTAGAGACATGTTAAGCTAACACATAAGATGTGTGAAGACAAAAGAGTTGTCTGCTTAATGATCTGGGAGTTGTATGGAGATACAATTGATAATAATATTTACCCAAATATTTTATTAAGATTTGTTGAGTACACTCAAGATCTTGATACAACGAATGAGATCCCAGCCCACTGGGAATCAAATGTGGATTCAAATAATTTATGTATGAGGGTCATGAATTTAT